AACTTCATTGTTGAATATAGGTAGAGGCATATGGACCTGATTTTAATATAACCTAAGAATCCCTTTGTTGAATTAATTTTGTAATTTTCAGCCTTTTTTTTTATATATAATGTGTAATAATTTATTACCCCCTCTCTGTTTCAGAAGTGGCACACATTCATCTTTAGACACTTTGTTCAAGGACAAGTGACATAGTTTGCTTTGGTGAGAGTAGAAAGTATGGATACAGTGTGCTTGCTAAACCAAATATGTTTTCCTTTTTGTTAAGAAATACTGCATTATTTAACCCTACCTAATTTATAAAAGTTTATGTAGTTGGATTTTATAAGTTATAGCTTTGCTTTCTTTTATGCTTATATCAGTGTGGGAATAGAATTTAACTTTTTCTTCCAGAAGTATTAAAGAAGATGATAAATATTATAAAATAAGTTGAATTCATAGCAACAATTAGATTTAAAAGGCTTATGATTTTCCCTGGCAAGACATTTTATCATGTCCTCATTCTCTTTAAATGCAAACTATAGTAACAAAATACAAAATAGAGTTTACCACATGCCAATATTTCTTCCTCTTAAATTTCTCTAAATTCAGAGTCTATTTTCTGGAGAGGAAATACTTGGCTTATAGGGAAACATGGAAATCTGAGCTTAGATATATAAGGAAGAAAAGTGCCGTATTAGGAAATATGGATATGGTTAAATGCATGTGGGAATAAGACTTGAATCAGTCTGTAATGGGACAGTTTGATAAGCTTAATATATTTACACTTAAATTCCATCATCAATTAAAGTTTTATTTGTACTTTATTGATCTTTCAGTGAAGAAATAGTTGAAATATTTTTAGTTTATTAATATTTCATTGAATGTTCAATGTCACATCTGCACACATGGGATTTTAACAAATGTCTGCTTAGTATGCAAATCCTCCCCAAGTAGCAGAATCAGCTAGAAATTACATTTTCTTTCTACGAACTATCGTGTATTTAATTCCCATGGTATATGTTAAAAGTGTCCTTATGCATCTGAATTGGCATATAGTTTTTATAGCAATTTGCTGTTTTATAGTACTTTCAAGTCTTTGTTGTAGATAACATTATGGGTATCACAAAAGTCTTACTGGATACTCAGTACTCTCTAGAGATGAGAAAATATGCCACTATTCCTGGTGTGCACTTAGTGTTAGTTTTCCATAATGGTTTGAGGGTGTGTAAATGCAGCATATAGCTGTGAGTTATAGATTCCAGGTCCTATTACCCAGGTACTCAACATGTTATTTTAGGCTTCACAAGAATTTGTCTCCAGATCTATTACTTCCTCATTTAAAGATGAGGGAACTAAAGGTTGAAAGGAGTTAGCAGAGGGAGACATCTGGTAGCTGGTTAATAATAGCAAACACATTCAGGGTCAGGCTACCTCTAATCCAGGCTCTGCCACTTAGAGCTCTATGACCTTGGGAAAGGTTTTTAACCTCCATAAGTCTCAGTTTCCGAAAACATTGAAAGGTCAAGAACGTCCACTCTCATAGGACTATTGTGAACATTAAATAAGATATAATACATGGAAACTGCTTGACATACAGTGTGTGCTCAGTATGTATATAACTACTAAGGAAATTACTGAAGGCCACTCAGATGCTAGGGAGAGGCACTGATGACAGCATCCTAAGTCACTTTCTGACTCTTGCTGCTTTCTAACCAAAGCATGAGATGTATGTGTGAAAATGAGTAGTATTAGTTACTATAGCTTCTAATAATTTTAAGAAGGGAGAGGTAGTGAGTATATGGAAGGCATAAATTACATAGCTAGGGTTGAAAGGCCAGGACATCAAAGAAGTTTTCTAAAATGTCACATTGTATTTTTTTAGATGACAATGGAAAGGGAGTTCACCCTTCCTGGATGCATCCTTGCACAATATTTACTTAAATCCTTTACAGATTATTAACCTTAAACATAAGAGCAACAGAAACATTCGTTTGTTTTTCCAAGTTCCCTCCAGTGATCCTTCCCCAAAATGCACTTGTCACTTTTCCGACTTAAGCAGTAGTTATATATGTCTCAGTTTCCGAAAATATTGAAAGGTCAAGAATGTCCACTCTCATAGGACTATTATAAACATTAAATAAGATATAATACATGGAAACTGCTTGACATACAAGGTCCTTCCAACATTTAGAATGGTAGGCGTTGCTGTTCAGAACAAGTTTCTTCTTTCCTGTCTCAAGTTCCTGTAATACTTTAGTTAAATATCATTTGGTACTTAATATTTTTCACATTCTTTTCTAGTTCTTTATTTCCATGGCTTAGATTCCCTACTTAAAGGCAGTCTGCCTAATGCATAATTACACTGGCTAATATCCCAAATACGAGGCCAAAAACAAGTTGTAAATTACTCTGAGATGAATGGTTTCTTTCATTCCTTATTCATCTTCTCAGTGGGCTAATAACTCTAGTTGGAACTAACATCAATTCTATTGATTAAAAATTAATTTTAAAAGATTCCTACTAGGATAATTTAGAGAATTTAAATGTTACACTTGTTAGTGTCAATTTTCAAGATTGTTTCATTAGTTTCCTAATGCAAGAGTTTTATTTTTGTGTGTATATTTTTGCTATCATTTTCATAGAAAACTTACTGATATTTGGTATAACTTAAATTGTGCCACATACTAGAGATTTTGAAAAAAAAAAAAAGTGGAGTTAACCCTGACATCATGAAGTTTTAATGCATTTAAGCAAATTTGGCCATTAGAAAGCAAACAGCCATTAGAAAGCAAACAACAACAAAACTACACAGTAGAAAAGGAGAAGAAGCCCTTTCAGTCAAAAGAGATTAAGCATTCCCTTTGGTCTTGATTGAATGTTAGACCGATTAATTTACCTAAAAGTGTGTTTTGGCCTAAGGAAATCTGTTCTCTGGACTTTTGTAGTTATTATATTCAGAGGCCAGACTTTTGGCCTCCTCTTTCAAAGAGATATGTTTAGGTTCTGCAAAGGCAAGAATTTGGCATGAGATCCCAGTGTGTGACACATGCACTTGATGATTTACCAAAACATGAACTTCAAACAAGAAATGGTTTTATATGACTAGTGCCCCAGTGCACAAATTAGTGCACAGGTGGGGTCCCTCAGCCTGGCTAGCAATAGGGGCAGTCTCACCCAGTCCTGATTGAAGCCAATGGGACCGGCCAGCTGGGGAGGGCCCATGGGAGATTGGCTGGCCGGCAGGGGAGGGACTGTGGGAGGGTCCCAGGGTGTGTCTGGCCCTCTTGCTCATTCCCCATTTGGCCTCTCAGTCCCAATTGGCCAGACCCCAGCAGCAAACTAACCTACTACCAGTCAGAGCATGTGCCCTCTGGTAGTCAGTGTGCATCATAACAAATGGTCCAGCAGTCCACTGATTTGTCGGACACTTAGCATATTATGCTTTTATTATATAGGATGCTTTACTCAGATTGAGAGAAAAACTGGTTATTAGTAAGTCTCCAGTTTTCACCAAGCCTTGTTATCTTTCTCACATAAATCCACTGAAATCAGAAGTCTTAAAGACAAAGTCCATTTTGTTTAATGGTTTCTCTTATTTAACTATCACAGGTTAAAAGAGAATAGACAAATGGAAAGATATTGTGGCTATATCTGAATGGTTATACTTCCAATCCATAAGCTCTGGGAAATGGGGCTAATCATTAAAGCTTCCATTTATTGAACATATGCTAGGAACTTGACCTGTATTCTCATTATTCTTCACAGCAATCCTGCAGGATGGTTGGTTGATTTCAATTATCACTTCACATATTAGGAGACAGGCTATAAGAGCTCACACGTTAAGTGGCAGAGCTAAGATGTGAACTTAATTACATCAGACAAACATTCACATGCTCCTAAATAAGATAATATCTGAGAGTGCTTGGAAAAATTCTATATAGGTAAATAGTAGTTATTTCTGTTCAGCTGTTGCCTCCCAGACTATAAATACATACATGCATGTGTGCATACACACACACACACACACACACACACACACACACACACACACAATGAGAGAGAGAGATGGGAGGGGAAAAAAGGAGAAAAACATTATAGTATGCCACTGCTAGTAGTAAGCATCTCACCATGCCATCAGCCTTCTTTTTATTTATATAGGTTATCCCAAAAAATGTACACATACTTTGAATAATTATTAATTCCATGGGTTAAATATAAAAAGAAATAAACATCAACTGAGCCATCAGAAAAAAGTGTTTGTACATTTTTGAGGGACAGTCTGTATTATTCACAAGCAGTTAGAGGATAGTAATGAAGGAGAAGCCACTTTACTAATGTCCGAAATTTAGGATTAAACAAAAAAATAATGTGCAAATCTTTATTGTGGATGACTTCAATACACTCTAGTGGGATAAAGAATATAGACTTGAGCCAATGGAAAAAACACACATGTTCTTGGATAGAATAATTCAACATCATAAATATAATTCTTCATGAGTTAATTTGTAGATTTAACATGCACTTAATAATAATACTGACAGCAGTTTACCCCCAAACCAGACAAGACATTCTAAATATAATGGAAATATATTTCTTGATAAGGTGTATGGTTGATTCTTTCTCTTGACCACCACTAGTTCGTTGATGTTTAGAATATTATTTGTAGGTATTAAAATTATTTTTATAGGTTATGTTTTAATGAACCTTATTCTCATAATACTATCATAGTATAGGAATGGGAGGAGTATTTATAGCAGCACCATGCAATTCTTTGAAATTCTTAGACTAAGTTATATTCCAAAAATTATATAGGGAACCATCAAAAATTATTTTTAAGATTCTGTCATCTGAGTTGGAAATCACCCATTGGCAAAGGGTTATTTACTGTCATTATAGTACACACCAGTATTTCCTTTTTTTGTTTGGTTTGGTATATAAAGGTTTTCCTTCACAACCCTTGGAAACCATTTATTTTTAAAACTTCTTACTGTATCATTGTTTTTCTGGTTTTTCCAAAGTTGCACTAAAATCCTCCCCAACTGACAGAAATGGAATCCAGGATAACTGTAGAACAAATTTTGGGGAAAGCCTGAACTTTCATGAAGGAGAATTCTTATTACAGGTAAGTTTTAATAAATTATAATCCTTACAATTAGGATGACAGTTGTAAATGGAGAGTCCATTCATGGGTCGTTTAATTACTTCCAGTTCATTTTGAGTTAGAAGTCACCCAGTGTCGCATTCCACTTTTGTTTGCACTGCAGTAGCATGTAATGCTCCACTCCCCAGATGTGTGGTATGTCTCTGTGTGTGTGTGTGTGTGTGTTAGAGAGAGAGAGAGAGAGAGAGAGAGAGAGAGAGAGAGAGAGAGATCTGTAATCATTTAACCATTTTAAAGAGTTTTTAGCAATAAAAGTAACAGCCTTAATTAAAGTCAAGTCAATATTTATACTGATTTTATAACTTTTTTCTCGGTAGGCTCTGAATGGCTTTGTGTTGGTTGTCACTACAGATGCCTTGGTCTTTTATGCTTCTTCTACTATACAAGATTATTTGGGATTTCAGCAGGTAAATATTCTCAAGTCATTAAAAAAATTTGTACTTTTTATGTACCTTATACTTTAGGGACACAATGGATAATTGCTTCAGATAAAATATCAAAATATGTGCTATAGAATAAAAATTATGTGTTTTCAGCTAATATATTTTATACTATTAATAATTTATTACATTATAATTTCCTTAAAATATGCGATTTACGCATATTGTGTTTCTCCTCTCACTTATGAAGGAACTCTTATATAAAAGAAACATTCAGGGAAGGGGTAGATAGGGTTTGAATGGGGCAGGCAAGAGGCTATTTGTCATCTAATTCATATGGATATTCACTGGAGAATATATGGCAACTATGAAATAAATGAGGTAATATGTAAAGGTATACCATGGCTTATACCTTTCATTCTGATTTATGGGGATTATGGAATCTTTGCTGAGGGAAATGGTATTTAAGCTAACTTAAAGAAAGTGTAGGATTCAGATGGGTTGACAATTGTGGAGGGGACACAGGGAAGAAAAGACAGAAGTACTATAAGCAATTGACTAGAATGCTTTCAAAGAGGTGAATGTGTCTGGTTTTTTTTTAATTGTTATTGAATGAATAGTGCATAAGTGGACTAGTGATTAAGGTGTTTGATGTATTGGAGGGAAAAGAATACGTTATTTGAACATAGTTGAATGCTAGGTATACTATAATATGTATCAATAGTTCCTAAATTCTAACCTGCATAAGACTCACCTGAAGAACTTGATAAAATGTTATAAAATTTTAGGCCTCAATTCCCCCTCCCCCCCAGTATTCTGATTCAGTAGATCAAAGCAGGACCCATGAATGTGTATTCCTAGCAAGCTCACAGGTGATATCAACTGCTTGTTCACACTAGTATTTAAACTGAAGATTAACCTGTGCTCTATACACACTGGAAGCCATTAAACATTTATTTTAAAGGGAATGTGTATACTCCAGCTTGTGTTTCAGATGATAACTCTGGCAATTGTGTAATGTCTGTCATAGAGATGGCTTAATCCTAGAAGATCAAGTTAATAGGGAGATTTCACTAAAGAGCTAAACTAATGGAATCTAGCTGTTACCACAATTTCTAAAGATATTCCTGAAGATAATTTTGCTGACCCAACCTTAAAACTGCTTTCAGACTTTTTAAATTATGAGGAAAATACACTAATGTCTATTGAAAGGCCTGTTTGAAACTTAATTACCTAGTTATCTTAATTATTTGATAATGTAATTCCTATCCATCATGAAATCAACAAGATTAGCTATTTCCCAATCTATTTTCCCCTATATGTACACATGAGCCTAGATGTTCTTTAAGAAAACATTCGTATCTGACATGGGTGGAGGCTTAGGCACCATTGAACTGCAAGTTGTCACTCCTTAGTGGGCAATGATATATAGTGATTCACCATCAACTATTCTTTTTAGTTGTTTAGTATGGCATAAAATAGAATGCACAAAATGTTTTGTTGAAACTTTCATGTGTGTATATGTACATATGTGATGGGTGGAAAATGTATTCAGTACCATGAGTTGCAGGTAAGAAATATATATATATATATGTGTGTGTGTGTGTGTGTGTGTTGTTTTATATATATAAAATATATATATATTTATATATATATAATATGTATATATAAATCTATATATATATAATTTATATATATGTTTTATATATATGTTGTTTTCTAATATATATATTAGAAAAATACTGTTTTAAGGATTCGGGGCTCATCACTGGGAGGCAAATAGTAGAGGAAGAATTCTACCCTGGTAAAGGCATATTTCTTTCTTTTTTGGAGTCTACTTAGGATAATTCAATTACAGAAAACTGTTAGAAAACAATGAAGAAAATACATAATGAATATTATTCAGCTTAGAGAAGTCAGAGACAACTGGGTCCAAAGGTTTTGTTAAAAACGTAGGACTTAAAAGATCAAAAAGGGGTAAAAATAAGTGAAGAAGTGACTTACTTGACTGAAGAATATTTATATGGCAAATAACTTCTGGCTTATCAATTAGAGCTAGTCTCTTCCTAGCTTTTCCTGTCTTGGGTAACTGGAGAGCTTTGCAAGCCATTTGCTTTATTCATCACTAATCTGGCTAGGTTCTGAAAACACATTAGTATGTCATGTTTATTTCTTTAGTTGGTACTATCTTATTTGTGTTTTTTCCCCTTAGTCTGATGTCATACATCAGAGTGTGTATGAACTTATCCATACTGAAGACCGAGCTGAATTTCAGCGTCAGCTACACTGGGCATTAAACCCTTCACAACATACAGACTCTGGACAAAGAATTGATGGTAAGAATGTTTATAAAAAGATAGCTTTGGACCCTGGGTATCTCAATGATTAGAGTGCCATCCCAATATGCCAGAGTTGCAGGTTCGATCCCCAGTCAGGACACATACAAGAAACCAAGGAATTCATAAATAAGTGGCACAACAAATCCATGCCTCGCCCTCTGCCTTTCCCTCTCCCTCTAAAAAAAGTAAAATGTAAAAAAGGTAGTTTTGGTATTTTTGATATAATTCTATGAAAAGTGCCAGAGAGCATTTGGGGGCAAAGAACTCCTTGGTGAGGGTAGGAAAGTAGTGGAAAGCCATGTGTCTGTACATTTAGTTCACACAGAGGCTAATGAGCTACAGAATGTTTTATTCTACAAAAAAGTAAATTATTTAATTATTTTGTTTCTTATTTATATAATGATTTTATTTGATATTAATTAAAAAATGAATATATCTAAGGAATGTGACAGCCATTGATGACTATCAAGTGGGAAAGTGTTGCCATACTCAGTAATGCATTTTATAAAATTATTCATACTGTTGTGAAAAATGGGAAGGAGTGTGTGTAAAATGTTCTGTGTTTCAAAAGGCACACAATTTTTTAAAAGCAAACTAGTATATCCAACTATAAAAAAAAACAACAACACAAAAACCTTTTCTCAATGTAAACAGTGTTTCCAGAAGTTTGTGGAAGTATTAGAAAGAAAATAAAATGGCATTAAAAAATGGGGAAATTGTTAGCAGTTATTGGTCAATAGAAATTAAAAACGGAGTAAATTTTAGTTTTTCATTAGCTTCTGGACTGAAAATGATTATCTTTTTGTACAGACTCCAATTTAGAAATTAACACAGATTTCAACTATCTAAACACTTAACGTTACAGCGAAGTGGAAAATAAATGTGTTGCTGTTATTTCTCCAGAAGCGAATGGCCTCCCCCATCCAGAAGTCTACTACGAGCCAGACCAGCTCCCCCCAGAAAACTCGCCGTTTATCGAGAGGTGCTTCATTTGCCGGCTGCGGTGTCTGCTGGATAATTCGTCTGGCTTTCTGGTAAGGTGCAAAATCTTAAGACCCTGTCATTTACTATTAATTTATAGAAATAAAATAGTTGAAATGAAACCAGTATTCTTCAGTTATATTTGAGTTTGGCTTTAAAAAAATCTATTTCATCAAATAATTAAGGAAAATAACTTTTAAAATATCATTATTTGTGATTTTTTTAATCCTTTCTATAACTCCGAAACCAAACAGATTGAGGGAAATAACCTAGAAGCTTGTATTTTGCCTACTTTTAGGACTTTTTAGGTATGTGATGAAGAACTATGTAGCCCTCTTTTAATTGAAGAATGCTTACTCTCTTTGGATGTAATGCCTGCTAGATAGAGAAATTATACTGGCCTTTTCCACGTGGCTAGAAAAAACTGCCATGTAGAGAAATGGTTGTTTGTTCATGATTGCAGAATCATCATGTAGCAGGAGATGCTATTGCGTGGTCTGAATACCTGGGTAGGATAACCATAGAGCAGTTTAGGCAGGATACTGAGGCTGCAGATGGTCTGCACCCTTAATATAGCACACTCCAGAAGAGACAGTGCCCAACTAAGTTTGGGAGCCAGTTCTCAAATTTTAGATGGGTTTTCTTACTGCAGGACTTTTCGGAGCCTTTACCAAAGGTACGTATTATACTCTGATTCTCAGTGGAGATGGTCATTCAAGCCTTTGTGAGAAAGTCTAGTTACATTCATCTTGGAGCTCTTCATCAAATTGCAATACTTGGCTTCCTAGGCTGCCTGTGACACATGAGAGAGGCATGCAAACCTGTGTCAAAACTTGCCGTTTTTTTATTTAGAAAATAAAGGGCAGCATAGTATCTCAAAGTGTACCCCCAGCTCCCCAGAAAATATAGCACACCCCACCAGCACAGGAGAAAAAGACTACAAGGTATGTCGTTGCATATTACTTTGGTGAGTTATCAGGAATTTGAAACAATCAAATCTTAAACATTAGCAAACAATGATTTTTGTGTTTGTCATAATGTTGCTGACCCAGAGTTAAAATTGCTTTGGGATAGTTTTCATAGTACTGATGATCGATTAGTATGTATTTTCTGAGATGGAGTAGGAGTGTAATTGGGTCTTTTCTTTCTTGTGCAATTATCATACTGATGTTAGAATTTTTCCTTGGCCTGATTATTACTGTTTTAAACAATTAAATAGATCATGCTCCTGCTTAAATTGCACTTGTTTTATGACTTCTACAATTATTCTCTCTCTCCTCTGATAGAGCTCTGCATTCTTTGTGATATCGTGAGTCGTTTTAATAAAACTGTATTTGAGATGTGGAATACAGTTCATGTGTGTTTGAAAATTAGTATGTACTAGATCACCATTTATTCAGACAGGAAACATATGAGTGCATGGTCACTTGCGCACTTAGAAAATGATGCAGGTATTCTTGTTGTGACCATTAAAAAGCCAGGAGGGTTTCACCTTTCTGTCCCTTCAGAATAGTCCTCACACTACTTTGGAATTGTTTTCTTATGGAGAAAGGAACGAAAAAAGTAGCAGTTGTCAGCTTTAGAAACCTTAGATGTGGCCAAGACTGAGCCTTTTAAAAAAGGAATGATTTTTAAACTGTTAATTTTAATGAGCTGTCTTTTGTGTTTTTAAGGCAATGAATTTCCAAGGGAGGTTAAAGTACCTGCACGGCCAGAACAAGAAAGGGAAAGATGGGTCGGTGCTTCCCCCTCAGCTAGCCTTGTTTGCCATAGCTACTCCCCTTCAGCCACCCTCCATCCTTGAAATCCGAACCAAAAACTTCATCTTTAGAACAAAACACAAACTAGACTTTACACCTACTGGTTGTGACGCCAAGTAAGTAAAACTTTTCTTTAAGTTTTTATTAGATGTATATATTATACAATGCAACAAGTCTCTCACAGAATGTAAAACATATAATGTAGATAATATTGTACATTATTATAGTAGCTATTATTTCATACTCTTTCAGTGTCATCTTTAAAATAATTTCAGGTTCATCAAATCATTTTATTCTTTCATAGTTTTTTATACTACTTGTCCCAATTCCTATGTCATAACGCTGATGTGCTTAAGGAGTAAGATTGTTTGTTTTACATTTTAAATTGTTTGTTTTACATTTTAAATTATACAACATTTTAAATTATACAAACTTTATTTGAACTTTAGCCCTGTAAGTTTAGTAACTTACAGAGAATTATGTTTTGATATAGGAATGCTTAATATCACATTCCATGTCATTGCTTTTCTCCTTTCAAATATGGAAATAGAGATGTTTGAAAAACCCTGCTCCTAAAAATGGAATACAAGCATTCTAGATTTTTACTAAATGTTTTGTTTTCCTGCATAATCTTCTTTCAGGAGAAGAAAATTATCTAAAACTGAAATTTGTAGCCATAAGCAAAAGAGAGCAGTTACAGAGATTTCCACCTGCTAATGTAAAATTCTGAGAGTAAAACCTATTGCAGCAAATAGCATATAGCTGATACCATTTAATATGAATGAAATAAAGTAATTTCAACTTCATTTATCTTTTTCACAGAGGAAAAATTGTTTTGGGCTACACTGAAGCAGAGCTGTGCATGAGAGGATCAGGGTATCAGTTTCTTCATGCTGCTGATATGCTCTATTGTGCTGAGTACCATATGCGGAGTAAGTTGTAGTTCCTTGTTAACATGTCCATAAAAGGGGCATATATCCTAGTGCAGTGGTCAGCAAAGCCAAATATCAACAGAACAATGATTGACATTTCTCTTGAGAGCCAAATTTTTTAAAACTTAAACTTATTCTAACACCACTTCTTCAAAATAGACTCACCTAGGCCGGGTATTTTGTGGAAGAGCCACATGTGGCTTGAGAGATGTAGTTTGCTGACCACAGCCCTAATGCATGTTTCAAGAAACTGAATAATTATCTACTCAATATCATCCTTTATGATAAACTACTCTATAGCTGCCACAGGAATATATTTGATCTTTGGTGATAAATTATCAAACTTAAATTTGACTTATTTATTTTTATTTTAGTGATCAAGACCGGAGAGAGTGGCATGATAGTGTTCAGGCTTCTTACCAAAGACAACCGATGGGCTTGGATCCAGTCTAATGCCCGCTTGGTTTATAAAAACGGAAGACCAGATTACATCATTGCAACTCAGAGACCTCTAACGTAAGCACAAAGACTTAAAAACAATGATAGCAGCAAACATTCTATTTTAATAACACTTTAAAAACTTAAATACTAAGAGAATTTACTCTGCAAATAAAAAGTTAGAATAATACTAGTATGTTTAAAAGGAGAAGGCCTAGGTGAAGAACACTGACAGAATTGACATTTTACTGAATAAATATGTAGATCTATGGCAGGAGAATAAAGAAAACTTAAGGGTTTTATCCTGCGCATGTAGAGGAAAGATGAAAATCTAGTGCCACCTGTGAAGTAAATATATCATTGCTTTGCTTAACATAGGTTTTCTAAGTGAGCATTGATTTTTAAGTTTCCTACATATTCTGGAAATGAGTATTTTTGTCAAGTATGTGCATTGTAAATTTTTGCAGGTGGCTTTAGATAAGAAATCAGTTTTCCTTTTCATATCTACTAAAGCTCCACAATAGTTATGAAGCAATGCCTCTAGCCATAATTTACAGTGCCACAAAGTTTTATGTTTATATTTTAGGTTGTAGTAGATAATTTTTGCAGGGGGAATCTGATTAAGGTCCATTTTTGGATTAAAATGAAAGCTTGTCTATTTGGATATATATGTCCAGTTGACCAGTAGTATTTATTGAAAATGCCATCTTTCCTCTACTATACTGCATTTTGATCAGATGATATATTTATGGTTGTTTACTTACTTGTGTATGCCTTCCATTTTGATTGTTTTCCTTCAACATTGCCTTGACTCTTCTTGACCACTTTATATTTTTATAATACATTTTAGAAATCAATTGTCAGTTCCCACCAGAAAATCTAAAGGGATTACAGTGACTATAACTCATTTTGAGATAATTAACATTTTTATAATAATCCATCCAACTCATGAACATATACATCAGGATACATGGTTGTGTAAAATATTTGCCTATGTCTTTATCTCAATAATGGACTGAATCTTGTATATCTTAATACTATTTTTCGATATTTGATATTTTAATGATGTGAACACACAATTTTCATATTGTGAATCATGCTAATCTTTTCCTTTATAGCTTCTGGCTTTTATTTAGACATGTGTTCATGTTGGGATCTTTGTCCCCAAAAACAGTATAGTCTTTACAACAAATTCTAAATCATTTAAATTTTATGGCACTAGGAAAATAATTGATAGTAGGGAAAAGCACTTTTATTTTGACATATACTGTATTTCCCTTGCTGTTTTTATAATTTTAGAGATGAAGAAGGAACAGAGCATCTAAAAAAACGAAATATGAAGTTGCCTTTTATGTTTGCCACTGGAGAAGCTTTGTTGTACGAGGTAACCAACCCCTTTCCTTCCATAACGGACTCCTTACCAATGAGGACTAAAAATGGTGCTAGTGGAAAAGATTCTGCTACCCAGTCAACACTCAGTAAGGATTCTCCCCATCCCAGTTCTGTCTTCAGTGCCATTATGCAACAAGATGAGTCAATTTATCTCTGTCCTGCTTCCAGTAGTGCTCCTTTAAAAAATTTTTTAAACGAATCTATGGACACATGCAGTAGTTGGCAGGACAGTATTGCACCAGCTGGAAATGATATCCTGAAACATGAGCAAATCGGTCGTTCTCAGGAAATGAACCTGACCCTTTCTGAAGCTCATGGAGGGCTCTTCCCTGACAAAAACAGTGACTTGTACAGCATGATGAAACACCTAGGGGTTGATTTTGAAGACATTAAACACATGCAGCAGAATGAGGAATTTTTTAGAGCCGACTTTTCTGGTGAGAACGACTTCAGAGACATTGACATAACAGATGAAATCCTGACGTTCGTCCAAGATTCTTTAAATAAGTCTACCTTCGCGTGTCCAGGTTACCAGCAGCAGCCGTCCAGGGCGCTGAACTCAAGCTGTATGGTGCAGGAGCACCTGCAGTTGGAGCAGCATCAGCAAACGCAGGTGGCCATGGAGCAGCAGCAACTGTGCCAGAAAATGAAGCATATGCAAGTCAATGGCATGTTTGCAAATTGGAGCGCTAACCAATCTGTGCCTTTTAATTGTCCTCAGCAAGACCTACAGCAGTACAATGTCTTTTCAGACTTACCTGGGACCAATCAAGAGTTTCCCTACAAATCTGAGATCGATACTATGCCTTATACAGAGAACATTATTCCGTGTAACTCGGCTGTGTTAGCACAACAGTCCCAGCGGACACAGTTAGACTTTCCCCTAGGGAACTTTGAACCATCCCCATACCCTACTACTACTTCTAGCTTAGAGTTTGTCACATGTTTACAAGTTCCTGAAACCCAAAAGCATGAACTAAATCTACAGTCCACGCTAGTAACTCCACAGACATGTTATGCTGGAGCTGTGTCCATGTACCCATATCGGTTGGAACCGCAGCAGAACATGGCTCAGATGCAGTATAGTCCAACCATGCCTGGCCCACAGGCATTTTTAACCAAGGTAAGGATGTTCTCAAACGATGTAATTATCTTGTAAGAAGAATCACTAAAAGGGTTTATGTCAGGACTGATTTAATCATTATCTACAGCATTTATATCAGAACATGTCTAATTATGTCTGTGACTACTTTTTTTTTATAAGCCAGTATGTTCCAAACACAAGTACAAGTATAATATATCCGTTTTAGCTGAATTGTAAAGGAAATAGCAGTCAAGCGCTGAATATGTCCTTAAGTCAGTGGTCGGCAAACTCATTAGTCAACAGAAACAAATATCAACAGTACAACGATTGAAATTTCTTTTGAGAGCCCAACTTTTTAAACTTCTTCTAACACCGCTCCTTCAAAATAGACTCAGGCCATGGTGTTTTGTGGAAGAGCCACACTCAAAGGGCCAAAGAGCCGCAGTTTGCTGACCACTGCCTTAAGTTACCCGGTAAAAGTAGTTACAAATAATTGTTTAGAATAGAGATTTTGATTTATCTTTCTTGATCTTTAAAAATAATTTTCTCAGTGTTTTGATATGTAGTTGAAATTGGGTTAAAAGGTATTCCTTTGCATGCCTTTGCCTCCGAAGGCCATTGGAATTTAATCCCAGGCTCCTTCGTATTCTCTAGCAATCCCTCTGTTTGATGTGCCACAGCCTCCTTTTATTTCCCATCAGGGGAAATGTTTTTTTCTGATGTTCTTAAAAGGGCAATACAGCTGGCTTTCTATCACGGGCCTTGAGGTTGATGTATTTTTACTATTTAAATGTGTCATTAAAACCCTTCTAGCAGCAAGCACACTTTAAATCTAAATCACTTTTAAAAAAACGTGAGTATTATATCTGCTCTCTCTGGCCATCCAGGAACACAGCATGTTTACATTTATGCTTTTCCATTATAAAATAGTTCATTTAAAAATGCATTTCATAGTTTTGAAGAACATCCTGACCAAAATTAAGTTCATTGTTATGTAATAGAAAAGGGCAGTGAAAGTTTTTCTTAGTCTCGTTCCTAACATCCTTTAGTCACTATAGTCTATTTTACGTTGCTGTGAAGTTAATCATAGGTAGGTACCTTACTATTCTCTTAAGTAGTAAAGAACTTACTTGTGTAATATTACATCTTACTTGTGTAATATTACATTTTGAACTCCCGTTAGCTCATGAGTTCTCTACAGTGATTCCTTCACTACTTTTATATTTTATTTATTTTTTACAGAGAGGAAGAGAGAGTTAGAAATATTGATGGGAGAGAATCATCAACCAGCTGTCTCCTGCACACCCCCTGCTGGGGATATGCCCGCAACCATGGTACATGCCCCTGACCAGAATTGAACCTGGGACCTTTCAGTCCACAGGCTGACGCTCTATCCACTGAGCCAAACCAGTTTCAGCCCTTCACTACTTTTTAATGAGTAATAAGAATTTTGTAGACCTATCTCTCTCTCCTCCTCAGCAGGGTAGCCACTCTATATGTGGCTAGTCCCAGACGAGGTGTACTAAAAATATCTGCCAATTTTGGAGATTTAATTTGGAAAAAAAATGAAATTTCAGCTAGATTAGGTTAAGGAAAATATATTAAAATTTCACTTTTTTAATGTGGCTCACATTTCCATTGAACAGCACTGCTCTAGATAATACATTTAGAGTAATATTCTCTGGGCAATTTGAAGAATTGACAGTTGCCATCATTGAAGATCTAGATTATGTGGGTATTACTATATATTTAATATATGTTTTGAAGGCTTTGAAGTAATCAATATTTTGATTACTGAAGCCTATTGTTGAAGGTAGATTTTATTTGAAGGAATTAAGAGTTTGGTTTTAATCTGAAAGTTTCTATAACTCTCACTAATTAAAGGCTCTGGTATCTATAAAACACTACAGAACTATCTCTGTGTCCATCTCCCCCATAGTAGTTATAAAAACCAGACCAATTTCATTGTAAGATGGCAAGACAGCATTTTAATAACTTGATTCTGAAATTAGGACAATAATCATAGTGGTCCTAATTACAGAAACAGGTTATTAAAAGTATAGTACAAATAAGAAATTAGTTTACCCACGGTCTGAGTAGTAGGAAATACTTAGGTCATCTGCAGTTCCAATGTAGTAATCTCAAGTGTAATAAATTCCCTGGTCCCCAGAATTTGACTGAAATGAAATCTGGTCAATTATTCAATGTGGGACAAAAGTAGGTTTATAGTTGTTCAGATGGAAATACAAGAATAAACTATCATATTGTATACCTACTTTCACCTCACCCCTTATTACTCTTTATTAGTTTCTATTCGAACTGAAGGCAATGCCTTGATCAAATGATCTCCTGATTTTTGCAACACCAAATATATGTGCTAAGTATTTTTCATTGAATGACTTAAAATTAAGCGATAATACAGTAATTTGAAATTAACATCATGTAGAGTGAAGATTAAAAATATATTTTAATATTTAATGATTTAAGTAAGATACTTTAAAGATCCATTCTAATAAATTGCTGTTTTTGTTTTCAGTTTCCGAATGGAGTTTTAAATGAAACCTATCCAGCTGAGTTAAATACTATAAATAACTCTCAGACCACCACACATCTTCAGTCTCTTCACCATCCATCAGAGAACAGACCTTTCCCGGACTTGACATCCAGTAGATTCCTATAATTCCACGCCCAATTTTTACCTTGGTTTTGGTTTAAAAGGTGGAAGGTTATGGTTACTAAACTGTCAATGTTGGACATCAGCAAGTTCACCTGGAGGCATTGATGTATGTTGTTCCCACTGTTATTACCAAACCACATTTTAATGTTTTTCAAAGAGAATTAAAAACATCAAAATTACATAGACTGTAATCATTCAAGTAGAAAGTATATGCCACAGGCTGGTGAGATACCATCTACATTTCACATTCTGAGCACCACAAGTTGTGCAAATTTTATTTACAGGAACTTTAAGATTCTCTTTAATGAGAAAATTTTCTCTACTGGAATTATTTCTGTCAGAATAAAAAGGTAATGAATTTTCAACTTATGAACCCGAAGTTACCAAAGTAGACTATTTCTTATAAGTGGTTTGGTGCTTTCCTTCATTGTTAATGTAAGTGCCTCTAAGTTTTTTCTACCTATAACACTGTAGGATGTATATTTTATATATAAAATAATGCCTTTTCTTTTTAAAGTTAACATTTTACACAAATATCATTTGCATTTTTTAAATTCAATAATTTTTATTAACCTATGCATGTTTTAACTGCACTATTTACCCACTTTCTTCAGGTAAAGAACAAATAATGACTGAAAAGATATTTATTATGAATAAACTAGTTGCTTCTAGATTGTAAATGTTGCTCTGTGCCTTACACTGAAAATGAAAAATATTTTAAAGTAAAATGTCTTTTCAAGTTATTTCTTAATTATTATGTAAATATTAATGGCAGCACTAAAATGTCAACAGTGTTTTCAGAAGAAAGATATACCGCCTTTTACCTCTGCTAAAGTCTCCACCCTTGTAGTTGCATGAAAATCTGCTCAAGTGACCACATTTCTCAGCCTACAGTGAAGAGCAGGGCCACTGAGGAAAAACAAAGCACCCATTTCAATGTGTGTACATTTTTTACAAACTGTTTTTACATAAATTTCACTTCTTAGTGTGCACTGTATTAAGAAGTGAAATTTATGATTGTGAAGTGTTAAGATTGAATATAGCAATGTTTGGTGCAAAGTATTGCTATGAATGGTGCATTGTATGCTTTACAATGAACAAAATTATTTGTAAAATATTTTTAATTTTTTCATGTAAAAATATTTCATATTTTATATGCATATAAATAATGAGTTTTACACATTTTATCAAATAGTGAATGCAACCCATTTAAGTTGGTATTACAAAAAAAAAGATAATTGTGCAATTTTATTAATTTCAAACATTAGGTTGTTTCTACGGTAGAGAGACCTTTATTATCAGTAAGGCAAATTAATCACCCTCCTAACTGCTGTCCTCAGGTGATTTAAAAGAAGTGCCGCCATCTGTTCTATGCATTTTCAGTCAAAATTTTGAATCTAGAATCAATAAAAGTATTGAAAACAACAAATTTGCCTAAAACATTTCATATTTTGTTTCCAGCATGAGGTGTCACTAAAGATTTAGACCAAAGGGTCTAGATTAATAAGCCATTTTTACATTTAAACTTTTCATTGAAAGTCTTACAGCATTTTTGTTAGTCTTCCTTCGTGTCACTGGATAAACTGGTTAGTGGAAGAAGGGCTTTTAGAATTGTGAATGTGATGACAAGCAATTAAAGTAATATTGTACATTTTCAGGTGTATATATCCATAAATAACTAAAGCTTATCTAAGAATAATAAAAGCACATTAAACCAAATACATCTTTGTGTACATTGCTGAGTGTGCCAAAACAAAGAAACCTCTGCTATGGTGAGGGATTTTATTTTTTGTTTTTAGATGGCGTGCACTTCTAAGAACCTGTAACGTTTCCTATACACCAGTGGTTCTCACAGTACCTGAACATGTACCAGTGTTCTGCTGTATTATGAAGCTTTCAGTCGTTCCTATGCACAAACATAGCGTTTTTCAGTGTTACTAACTTGTAGGTAAATGCTTTCAAGGCTTTTCTCCTTCTAATGTTACTGCTTTACATATGCCATGCATACATTTTAAAAAAATATATGATTTATAATATCCTTACTATTAAATAAAATTGTATGTAATAATATATGGTAATAAAATAATCACCAAATATTAATACTGTCCAATGTAAATTCTTTCCAGTTTATATAAAGGATGTTGGTATACTATAGTATTATAACTATGTTAAAGGCAATCTATAATGTTGAAAAGTATGTTGTCAGTAATTAATAAAAGTTTTGCCCCTGGATATATAAAAACATTTTCAGTAACATTACAGATTTAAAATGTTTCTGAAATGGATGATTCTAACCCTAACCTGTGTTAGTTATATTTAGTGCTTTGATTAGAGTATACTGTTCACAACCTATACTCACTAAGATACAAAGGAAACACTATGCCTTTGCTGTTAAATTTATAATTGCTAAACACTCACCAAGAATTCTGTAATTCAGATTGTCTTAAGAAAAATTTCTGAGAAAAACAGTATTTTATTCTAGCAGTAATTATATTTGTTATGGTTTAGGCTGATCCTTTAAAAGAGATTTTTCTCAACAACCTAATAGCAAGTTAGCATCATATTTAATTTCAAACATTTTAGAAAAAACAATACTGAGCCTTTTGTCAGTAAAAATCCAGGTAGTCCTATTTCTGATGTCTGCTTCCCCTCGCATGCCTTCTGTCATTATGAATGGTGTCTGCCTTGTTTTCACCAGCCTGCCCAGCACTGGCCAGGGATGTCAGCTGCCTCCAGGACTAGGTAACACCTTAAAGTCTTCTCCCAATGTGTGCAGGTGGCCTTGCCTTCAGTTTTACTAATGAAGACCATCAAATAAAAATCCTGACATCCTAGGTGTGCCTGTACCTTCACCTCAACAATACCACTATCCTTGATCTGTTGGGCTCAATTCCAATGGATGGGAAGGCAAGGTTCCCACCCTTCCTTTGCAGTTCTCATGCATTGAGCATCCCCATTTCCCTAGAACCCTGGGGAGGAAAAATTTGTGCCTCCTACATCCTTTTTCTTATTAAATTGTTTATCTCCTGTCTCTAAACAATTTTTTATCTCCTGAAATCTGGTTTGTTTTCTACCTTTCTATGTATGGTTTTGTTGAAGCTTAATCCCTTCTTACTATAGGCTGATTCTCAATGGCACTGCAACCAAAATGCACCCTCAATGAACATTTTTTGCCCTTTTCACTGCCATGATACTAGTTGCCCTGCACCTTTCACTTTTCTTTGTTACTCTCCCCACCACCACTCCCAACTAGCAACAGACTTAGTTATGACCATTTGTGGTTCTTTCTCTACCTCCACATACTGTCCTTTAGGAACCCAACCCTTCTGCAGATGCTTTAACCTCTTTAAAAACATGAAATAAAAAGAAACTTTATCTCCAATGTTTATGGAGCATTCTTCTCTTTTGAGAGCATAGCAAAGCCAAGCACACAGACTCTGGAGTCAGACTGTTGGCTTCAACACACATAGGATGTGAATGATTGGGAAGGTTTCTTCTTTCTGAGCTTGAATTTCCTTTATACAGAAGGAATATAATGGTAATACCTGCCTCATTGGATGGTTGGAGTCATAAATAAGCAATTCATGTAAAACCACTTAGTGTCCAATGACCAAACTGAAACAATTTGCCTCCCTAATATGATGCTATGACAAGTACACTTAAGCTCTATGTGTATTCTCAAAACCACAAACCCAGTCTCATCATGAGAAAAACGTCAGACAAACCCAAATTGAGGGACATTCCACAAAATTCCTGGAGGAGTCTCAAGTATCACCGGGGTGAAAAACAAGAAAGATTGAGATGTCACGGGTCAGAGGAGACCAAGAACATGACTAAATACAACACAGCATTCTAGACTTCATCCTCTAAAAGACATTAAGGGATCTGCAGGAATCTGAATGAAGTTCAGTTTTATTAATACTATTGTACCAATGTTAATTTCCTAGTTTTGACCATTATAACATGGTTATATAAGATGTTAAGTTTCATATAACTGGATGAAGGAAATAAGTTCTCTATATCCTGACAACTTTTATGTAACTAAAATTATTTTTAAATAGTTTAAAATAATTTATATGTTGCACATGGATTGAAAATATTAATATTGTCAAAATGTCCTTACCATCTAAAATATATAGTTCAATGCAATGCTTATTAAAATACTAGTGGCATTCTCAGAATTAGAATAACTAATTCTAAATTTATATGGAACCACAGAAGACCCCAAATAGTGAAAGCAATCTTGAGAAAGAAGAACAAAGTGGGAGATATTACTCTCCCTGATGACAAACTATACTACAGAGCTACCATAATTAAAACAGTATTGTTCTGGCATAAATATACATGTATGGATTAATGGTATTAAAGAGACAACCCAGAGATAAATCCCTGCTTTTATGGTCAATCTATAACAAAAAAAATTGGAACACTTTTTTACACTATATATACACAAAATAAGCACAAAATGGATTAAACAATTAAATGTTAGATCTGAAATGATAAAACTCTAAAAGGAAATGTAGGCAGTAAACTCCTTTGATATTGCTCTCAGCAGTATCTTTTTGGCTATATCTCTGTGCAAAGGAGCACACATTATCCATTAGCCTAGACCTTAGAATCAATAAAAAATGGGACTGTTTTTGCACAGAGAAGGAAACCATCAGCAAAATGAAAAGACAACCTACTAAATGGGAGAAGATATTCCCAAATGATGTCATCAATAAGGAGTTAACTTCCAAAATAAAGAATTCTAACAACTAAACCAAAAAATCCAACTGAAAATGGGCAGAAAAGCTGAAGAGATGTTTCTCCCAAGAAGACAGATGGTCAACAGATACATAAAAAGATGCTCAACATCACTGATCATTAGGGAAATGCAAATTAAAATTACAAAGAAATATCACACACCTGACAAAATGGCCATCAATGAATCAACAAATATGGTTTGGCAAAGATGTAGAGAAAAGAGAATCCTTGTACACTATTGATGAGATTGTAAATTA